GGTTTCGGATGTAGACTTTATGGTCATCCGTCGTAGTCTAGGTGGTTAGGATACGCGGCTCTCACCCGCGCGACCCGGGTTCAAGTCCCGGCGACGGAATCACGTCCACAGTTGATGTGTTGAGTTTTTACGGTTTTGAAAAGATATCAGTGGAATTTAGGCCAGAATGGACCCTAGTGATGCAATATGGGCTTCTGCTTTGCCAAACGCATTTGAGCCCCCGTGTGCCTGGACCTCCCCAACGTGATGATTGCGCAAAAGGCGGGTAGGGGCATCACAGGCTGTTTGCCTTTGCTGGTGTTCGGCGCACTATGCCACCCGCATGGGTTGAGTGCTGCTGTGATGCGGCCAGCCCAACTCATAAGACAATAAGCACTGAACCGCGGCAGGCGAGCAACATCAGTGCACGCTTGGGAAGGGGTTTCGCCAGCCTCAAAAAAGGCACGCAGTTCCAAAGTGTAAAAGAAATTATACGTGTTGCCGCCGGCTGGGCCGAGCCAGCTGCAGATAGAAGCAAGGCCGAAGATCACGGCGGAAAAATAATAGGCGCCGAAGAGCGTGCAGATGCACATTTGTGAGCGCCTTTCTGACTGATAGAGCAATGGCCACCAAGCAGCTTCATGAGGAGCAAATCTAAGCTGTGCTGCTTATATCTACGCATGTAGCCGCCATTACTGTCAAGGGCATGCAAAATGCCCCTGAAGACTGTCTTTGTACAAGCAATCCTCATAAGCCGAGTTGCGTTGTTGTTTCCCCTGCCATGTACACTAATACTCTCGGCAATATTCTCCTTTGCTATGGCCTGTGAGGATCTGGTTTTCGTTCTCGTGCTCGATGACGCAATGACGTTGCTGCCGGTTGTGGGGGAGAGTTTCGGGCATACTTAGGTCTTTCCCTGCTCGGTCTTAGAAAAGCAACTTCAGCGGGATGGCAATACCTCCCAGTCAGCGATATGCCGACGACGTACGTCAACCCGTCAACCCAAGAACAAACAGCAAAAGGTCCTACACGTTAGCCTGAGATCGTCGTGGAGTGCTGTGGTCGAAATGCCTAGGTGCATTACTTCGCCCCAAAATGGCGCTGCTGTCCCGTAGACCCGTATCTTGTTGTTTTAGATGTTATACTTAATAAAACTGCTTGCTATGACAGAGCTTCCGGACAGCAGACCCCCCCAGGTGGGCAAGAGGCTCGAAAGTATGTTTGCCGTACCGAAGTGGCTGCACTGAAGCAAATAGGGTGATGAAACACCACGCATGAATCAGAGAGCCTAGGGTTGATGATATCGTTTGACGGGCCACCGTAGTGGTTGATCTGGCGGGCATACCTGCTTACCCCTGCGCGACCCGCTCCCCAGCCCCGGCAACGCAAGCGAGCATGCAGGAGAGAGGCAGTAGAGAACAACAGGCAGAGAGCAGCAACGACACAGCAAAGGAGTGCTAGAGGGGGTGCTGCAGGTGCCAGCTACGGTTTCGCGCTAGGGTTATACATCGAAGATATGTACAAAGGCACTGCAGCACAGATTCAATTTCTATCAAAATGTACAGCTTTAGGGCTGGCTACCGTACGAAGCGTTTATGGACACCTCTGAAGGCTGGTCCTTGGGATTCTCTTGGAACGAAGTACAAATAGAAACAATAAAAAACAACTGAACTTAAAATGAACGGAAAAAGACGGTTGGCCAGATGGGGGTCTTTGCCTCCCACAGCCATGCACATCTATAGGTCTGTACTATATATATATACTACCTTCTTTATGAACTCAAGCCTTCAGCGCCGCCCAAAAACGGGCCTATAAAGACACCATGCACACGCCCAGCTGCACGGTATAAAGGGCAGAAGAAAGCCCAAGCCCCTCCAATAACTACTCTGTACCTAAGAGAAAGAAAGCCCTTCTTTTCCAAGCCTCACTAATGCCTACGCTCACAACAGCATCACTAAAGAAAAACACGGAAGGGGCGACCGCACTGCAAGAATAAGATACACCATATTCTGCAGCAGCTATCCTTCCATCGGGCCCCGTAGACGGAGGACCCTAGCGGGCGTCATTCGCCCGACGCACCCCTCCTCCTGCAGCTCTTCTGGGCTGGTATTCACCTGCACAAATCACGCGGTGGATCCCCAGGAGCTTCAGGATGCCTAAGAGTTCGAGGGGCCCCTTGAAAGGCCTTCACGGGGGTACACCCTGCAGGCCTCTTGTTTTCTGCCTGCGAGAGGCCCTTGGGTGGAGGAGGGGGGAGGGGGAAGAACTGAGCTGCAGTATGTTTGGGGGCACTGCTTAGGGCCTTCGGAAGAGCTCTCCGCAAAAGTATTCAGCATTGAGTTCATTCTCAAAGCACCAGAAGTGGCCCGCGTTCAGCTTGATGCTGTGGTGGGAAGACAGGCGTTTTAGGGCCTCGCTTGCCTCCATATCCACAGCGGAGGGCACCCGACAGCAGTGACAGCCAACAGAACCAGAAAAAGAAATACGCCCCGTCGCCTTCAGCTGCTCGTAGTACGCAGGGTCCACCAAGTACAGCCACAAAAACACCAAAGAAGCCGTCTGCAAATACACCACACACATCATACTCTTCTACTGCACGTCTTAGCAGCTATTTATACATGCAATTTTGTGTATGTACACTTTTGTATGCATCATATATATATATATATGAATATAGTATATATATAAACATATATAAATATATAAAGGTATATTACACTTGTACACCCGGTGTATAGGCACACTAACACTACTACAAAAAATACAGCTTGACGCCCGCACCCTACCAGCTGCAGCGACAACGACAGCAGCAGCAACAGCAGCAGTAGAGCCCAAACTACCATCCTTATATCCACCAGCAGCAACAGATCCACCAGAATCCTCACAAACACCACATGAACCCTATACCCTAAAACCTAAACCCTAGTCTCTAGACCCTCCGTGGTCCCAAATGTGACAACCTTGGAAGGTGCACGGCAGGACAAAAACTAAACAAACAAACAAAAGCGTCTTCTAGGGTTTAGGGTTTCAGGCGTGCTTCAGGGTATACTGACAAGGCAAGCAAGAGCCGCGAGTCGCACAAACCACTCAAGCACACCGCCCCACAAGAACGACGGCCCATCTGCGCGCAGCTCCCTCAACTCCGCCTGTGTCTTTGCCTCTGCAGCACAAACCCTCAACCCTAAACCCTAAAACCTAAACACTTAGCCCTGACCCCCACCAAGACGTACGTATTTAAACAAATACTGGGGGTTTGGGCCTCAAAACTGCATCACTTACCCTGTCTCCTGATGCGGCTAGCAAGGAGACTCCGTTTTGAAGCAGAGAGGCAACAGCGGCAACAACGCAGCCGCACTCGCGCCCACAAAATAGACAAAGAAAGCCTCCTGAAATCAACAGGCAAGTCAAACCCTACACTCTAAACCCTAAATCGAAAAAGCTAAACCCGACACTGTAAACCCTAATCCTTAAAACCTGCACCCTACAATCTAAACCCTAATTCTTGAACCCTAAACCCTGCATTCATAGCCCAAACCCTCGAACCCTAAACTCTACACTCTAAACCCTAATCCTTACACCCCTAAGCCCAGGTGGAACAGAGGGTCGGGGGCCCTCCAAAACAAACCAACACGTTGCTACGCTGTGCATACACCCTTGATTCTAAACGCGAAACCTATGCAAAAAATACCTAAACCCTAAACCCTAGGCCCTCACCTGATGGGTCTCAAGGTGTATATTGTGGCAAACCCAAAGAGCAAACCACCAAGACATCCGCCCAAATGAGCGAAGTTATCAACTGTGGAGAAGCCGCCCATGCTATTAAGTTGGGCTGTCGCCTGCAGAGAACCCCAAACCCTAAACCCTAAACCCTAAACCCCAAACTTCCCCGCCCTATATTCAAAACGGCCAAGCGAGTTGGGGAGGTAAAGCGACTCGAACAATTGCAAGGGGGAATATGCTTCAGTTCTGATAGGGTTTACAGTTTGGCGTCTAGGGTTTAGGGTTTGCAACTCACAATAACAACAATTATGATCGCAAGCACACACCAAGGATAGTGCAAAAAGTCCCAGTTCTCTGCGGAAAAAACAGCGGCCAAACCCTAAACCCTAAACCTTAAACCAAAACCCGAGAACCGTCCGCTGAAAACCCTAGCCTCGCTACCATTCGTGCAAATGGATCAACAGGCGCCGCCGGCCTCCTTTCTAAACCCTAAACCCTAAACCCTCACCGACTGTAAAGGGCACTAGGCCCCCCAAAAGGCCGTATAGAGCGCCCGACGACCCCACAGTGGTCGTACAAGGATCAAAGACAGCACTAAGGAGATTTCCAGACATAGCGCTGATCAACCACGTGAACAGACACCGCCAGAAACCCCAAACCTGCGTCGCAAACCCTAAATCGTCAGCCCGAACCCCTAAACCCTAAACCCTAAACCCTTAAACAAGCCACCCAAGAATGAACAGACAGTGCCACTCAACGAACTTTCTCACCGCAAACTTGCACCCATCGGAGGGAGCAAACCAAGTCGAGGGCTTAGAGCTTAGGGCTGGCTCACGGGTTCGAGGATGAAGAGCACCGCTGCCTGGCATAAAATGTTAATGGCCAAATGCACCCAACCTCCGTGCAAGAAAGAAGCCCAAAAGACTCTGTACACTTCGCCGTAGTTGCGAATGAGGTTTGTATCTAAGGCTCCAAGAGTCGACAGAATGCGAGCTGTACGTACACCCAAAACCCCACAGCCCTAAACCCTGAACCCTGAACCCTCCCTCATTCCCCTCAGAAGCCGCAAAACCCTAAACCCTAAACCCTAAGGCAAAGAACAAAAATCAAAGCCTCTTCGCACCCAAACCACTAAACTGCATGCTGTATCCATCCAATATTACAGACCCTAAACCCTAAACCCTAAACCCTAAACAATAAACCTTAAACCCTATGGCCGCGAGAGGAAACCGAAACGGCTCAGTAGCGTCTACGGCCTGGAGGCTCCGCAGTTGTTAGTTTATGTGGTTTCACTGACAAACACAAGGATTAGGGTTTAGGGTTTACAGTTGGGAGAATCTGAAGATGCAGGGTTTGCAGCTCTCGGTCCGTTCTTGACGAGGTTTGCCGGCCACCCTCTGTCTCCTGCACAAGACCCCCAGGCGCATCTCTTGGCAGGGAAGAGCTGCTGCTCCAGCACACTTTGATCTGTTGCTGCTTCCCCTGCTGCTGCTGCTGCTGCTGCCGCTTCTGGTGCTGCTGCTCCTCCTTCCTCTGCCACTGCTGCTTCTGGGCCTGGGCTGCGCAGCCCCAAGTTCGTTTCGCATGCGCCGTAACCAAAGGCCACCAACCTCGGCTGCAGCAAACACCCTAAACCCTAAACCCTTAACCCTTCAAAATCCTTAACCCTATACCCTCTACACCCTAAGCCCTAAGCCCCAAACCCTCAACCCGACATATGAGTATCTACAAGCCGTCCCATTTACTTTAGAACTGTAGGGTTTCCGCTCTCTGTGGCTTGGTTCACCGAGCCTATGAATTAGAGCTTAGGGTTTAGGGTTTAGGGTTTAGGGTTTAGGGTTTATAAGCACCACGCGAGTAGCTGCAGGCTCCGTCCACGGGGGGTATAAGACGGGACCGATGCAACGGCCATTGAACGATGTGAAGTTGAACACCAGCCTGTGCACAAGCCCTAAACCCTAAACCCTAAGCCCTAAGCCCTACACTCCTGACCATAAAGATTAATTAAACCCTAAACCCTAAACCATTGACCCTAAACCCTAAACCCTTGACCCTTGACCCTAAACCCCGCAGCCGCTAGCTGGTCTGTGGCTGACTCTTGTAGGAAAAGAAAGAGGAGGACGGCGGTGGACGCCCAGAGCAGCACAAAGGACCCCACACCATGTTTAAGATGTGCATCTATTCTTCTTGCTGCTGAGCTCTTGAAGGAACTAAAGCGCGTGGATGGTCCTCCGGCCGTCAGCACCAACGGCTGCTGCTGCTGCTGCTGCCCTGCTGCTGCATGCGCTGTACTGTCTCCTCCCGGCAGCACGGAGTAAGGAGGAGACACCCCTGCAGGAGATAGCAGCACCGGCTGCACCTGCTGCGCCCTTGTGGGGTGTTGCGCTGCAGTTGTCTGCTGCATGCGCTCCCAACCCCGCGGTGCCGCACCCTGTGTGGGACCAGCGAGTGGTCCAATGGTCACTGCATGCAGGCCCCCTGAGGAGAGTTCCCCTGTTGCATGCGCTTGGGGCTGGGGGGAGGTAGCAACGGACACAAATTCTTCTTCATATCCCTCTGAATGGGCCCCACTACCTAACGCCCGGTGTCTGTTGTTTTGCTCCTCCACAGCAAATACAGTTCCACCCATTGAGCTCGCAGATTTGAGGGGTGGCAGCCGACGGCTTCCTCGCCCAGGAGGAGCCTCCATCCTGCTGCAGTTGCTGCTGCTGATCGTGTTGCTGCTGCTGTTCCTGCTGCTTCTGCTGCTGCTACTAGTACTACTACTGCTGCTGCTGCTGCGGGGAATATGGCAGTCGCCGCTGCTGCTGCTGCTGTTGCTGCTGCTGCTAATAGTTCAGAAAAGGCAGCAATCAAGAGCCTACAAAAGGGGGGAGAAGACAGACGAAGAAAAAACTTGCGTCGCTTCAGCCCCAAGGAGGGAGCAAGCTAACGCGTTCAGCTGGGGTTTAGGGTTTAGGGTTTGAGAGGCGCGCATCAAATCTTCTCAAGGAAGTGGGGAAAGAAGGAGTCATTAAAATCAAATGAAATTAAACAAGAAAGAAAAAAACAAAGAAGAAACCCTCAATTACAAGCTCTAACAAACTAATGCAGCAAGGCAGAGAGGAGCTACAGACATATCAGGAAGTTAAGCATTTGTAGGAAGCTTAAACAGAGGGTTTTTAAACTCTTGTATCTCTGCTATTCCTTTTTGCAGATGGAGACAAACGGCGCTTCTCGGTGCTGCTGTTGCTGCTGTTGCAGCCGCAGCGGCTGCTGCAGCTGCTGCAGCAGCGGCTGCTGCTCGATCTCCGAAGCAGCTCTGCTACTGCACCTAATGCTAATTTCTACAGACTTATGGGGGTTTATTTTGTTATAGTATTTGTCGTAATTCAAAATAGTGGCTTAGCTCAACCCTAAACCCTAAACCCTAAACCCTAAACCCTAAACCCTAACTCCCAGGTTTTCACGCGGGTTTGTTTGGTGGTTCAGTCTAAAGGGTGGCTTTGTTCGTTTAGGTTAATTATTAGGGTGTGTAGGGCCTCCGCGGCTTGCTACTAGAGCGTAAACCCTTATAAACCCTAAACCCTAAACCACCCGTGTCTCGTCCTCGCGCCTACGTTAGCTTTCATGCAGGAAGGAGCCTAGGGCCTCAGGTGCTGCTGCTGTTGTTGTTGTTGTTGCTGCTGCTACTGCTGAAAATGCTGCGGTTGGTCCTGCTCTGCTGCTTCTACTGCTGCTAATGGTGCTGGTAGCTGGTAAGGCAGGCCGTAGTGCCGCCGGAGAGAAACCCTAGTCTCTAAACCCTAAACCCTAAACCCTACTAGCGGGTGTTGTATCTATCACAGCGCTGCAACTACGGTTGCGTAGCAGCAGCAGCAACAGAGACAACAGCGGCAACAGCAGCAGCCGACAGCAACAGCAGGAAGGTGATGTGTGCAGCGTGAGAGCGCCCTAAACCCTCATCTGTGTCTCTATGCCCACCTACTAAACCCTAGGTGCCCCTCCCCAAACCCTAAGCCCTACATAGAAGTGCTGGCAGTGCAAAAATCAAGAAAAAAGGGTTTAGGGTTTAGGGTTTACGATGATGGCAGAGTTCGAGAACCCGCAGCTGAGCCTTGATACGACCATTGGCTGCCGGTTTCTCTCTGCATTTCTGTCTCCTTCTGTCTCCTTTGCTGTTTTTACTGTCTCCTTTTTTGTGTCTTGCGGTCCTCCACCAACCCCCCAAGGCAGCCGCACGCAACGGGCTGGCGAAACAATGCCTGCGGCGCAAACCCTAAACCCTAAACCCTAAACCCTGAACCCCACAGTGGAAGTCCTCGCGATATTAAATATCCAGGGTTTAGCTTCAGCTGTTTAGATAACAACGAAAGGCTTTAGGGTTTAGTGTTTAGCATCAATTGTTTAGGGTTTACGCTGAGGGTTTAGGGTTTAGGGTTTGCATGCCTCGGGGCCCCGCGCCGACTTGTCCCTGGGCGTTTAAACCCCAAGCAATTAAAGTTTGGTGGTTTAGAACAGCCACACAATGTGAAGAGCCGCAAGAGACATCGGAGACAAAAGCAGCAGAGAAGGGAGGAGACAGTGAGCGCGGCAGCTGAAAATGCAGCAGCGCAGCAGCACACACGCAGCTGTGGTTTAGGGTTTAGGGTTTAGGGATATAAGTAAGACGGAATCCAGAAGCCGTGCATACGAACAGAAACCAGGATTAAAGGTGTTTTGGGAGGTGCTACTGCTTCTAGCGTTGCTGCTGCTGTTGCTGTTGCTGCTGCTGCTGCTGCTGCTGCTCACCTGCACCGGAAGCAGCGTCTGCTGCTGCTGCTGCAGCGTCCTGCCGCACTGGCCGCGTGTTGTCTCGCCGCAGCACAACAGGGCATTTCTACCTCCCCCCGCTGCTGCATCACTGCGAACGCAGCAGCAGCAGCAGCAGCAGCAACAGCAGCAGCAGCAGCAAGGAGGCATCGGCAGATATGCTGCACGGCGGGTCGTGCAGTAGCGACAGCGGTAGCAGCAAAAAGAGGTTAGGGTTTAGGGTTTAGGGTTTTGGCCTCTTACCCTTCCTGATATAAAATAATGGAAGAAAAGTCGCTCGCAGCCACTGCCGTTGCCAACCCTCGCGCAGCTGCACGTAAACCCTAAACCCTAAACCCTAAACCCTAAACCACTGGGTTCGTTGAGATCTTGAGTGGCAGCAGTTCTAAGGCCAGTCATTTCGCAGGTTGAGGGTTTGGGCAGCAAGCCATGATATCAGGGTTTGGAGTGAGGGTATAGGGTTTCGATTAGGGTTTAGGGTTTAGGGTTTAGGGTTTACCTTCAGGGCAGACAGCCGCATTGGGCTTGAGAGAAGGTATGGGCTTGTACTGAATGTGTCTCTCCATCGTGCCATAGGAGACAGCCCGCCGGATCGGAGCCTTAACTCCCGCTGCAAGCAAAACCCTAAACCCTAAACCCTAAACCCTAGATCCTAAACCCTAAACCCTAAATTCTAGTTATGGTAGGTACCAGAGAGGGGAGAAACCGACAACTGCCTTCACGGATTACTTCACTCCACGTCAGCAGACCGACCCCTAAACCCTAAACCCTAAACCCTAAACCCCTCACCCATGTCGATCCTGTCTTTATAGGTAGTCCCCACATCTGCGCCTCCTGGACCCCGAGTGTCTCCAATCGCCAGCTGGATCTTTGAGTCGTCACCAAACCTAAACCCAAACCCTAAACCCTAAACCCTAAACCCTAAACCCCAGGCTCTACACCCAAACGCCGACTCCAGCAGCAGATCCGCTGCCAGAAAGGGCAAAGCAAAAGGTCATAGGGATGTAGGCCTTAGGGTTTGGCAGCTAGGGTCTAGGGTTTGACAGGGCGAGGAATTAGGGTTTAGGGTTTAGGGTTTAGGGTCTGACGCAAAAGTGCTGCCATCTGCAGCCAGCACAAGAGTATGTCGATCGCCGCATGCAGCGCCCGCTGCCTTCGCTTTTTCAGGCAATACCACCTGCACGCAAACCCTAAACCCTAAACCCTAAACCCTAGGTCCTTGATATGGGCGCTAGCTAGGGCTAGCGAGTGGGTGTTTGGGCGGTTTAGGGTTTAGGGTTTAGGCTTTCGGGCCTGCGGCAGAGGGCCTAGAAGGCGGTGTCTCAGGGTAATCTGCGTTGAGGTTGGTGAAGGTCTTGCGAGGGTTTAGGGTTTAGGGTTTAGGGCTTGCCTCGTGCATCGCTACGTGGTGTGTCCTGGGGCCCGCCGGCTTCAACCCGCACTGGCCGTAGAGGTTGTCACCACAGCAAACTGCAGCAGCAGCAGCAGCAGCAGTAACCGCAACAAGAACAACATTAGCAGCATGCACGAAGCAGCAGCCAATGACACTGCAGCGCAGTTCCCACCTCAGTAGCCGTAGCTGGCCATGTAGCAGCAGCAGCGGCAGCAGCAGCAGCAGTAGCAGCTGTAGCAGCAGCAGTAGCAGCAGCATCAGCAGTAGCAGCAGCCACAGCAGCAACGAAAACGCTTGCGGCAGTAGTAGCACCGATAGGAGCAGCGATAGAATAGCAACAGCAGCACCAACACACGCAGCAACAGCAGCAACACCAGCAGCAGCAACAGCAGCAGCAGCAGCAGCAGCAGCAGGAGCAGCAGGGTTACAAAGTCTGCCTTTTTGTGAGATGAAAGCAGCGTGATTGGCTCCAATGGCCATCTTAACGATGAAATCCCCCCACAAGAAACCCTTAACAGGCAGTCCCTTTAGCTGCCTAAACGGTTGCTGCTGCTGCTGCTGCTGCTGCTGCTGTTGCTGTTGCTGCTGGTGGTGTTCTTGTTGCTGCTGCTGCAGCAGGGGCAGCACGTCGTCTATGACGAAGATACGGCCCTCTCTGTCCAACACAAATATTTCTGTCGCCGAACACTGCACGTCTGCTGCTGCTGCTGCGCCTTGAGGGAGCTGCAGCACGAAAGGTGAGACAAATACTGCAGCAGCAGCAACAGCAACAGCAGCAGCAGCAGCAAAGGAAACACTAACGAGCATGATAATATGCATGCAGAAGCAGCAGCGCCAACCCAAACCCACCCCCAGCCATCAAGTCGCAGCAGCAGCAACAGCAACACCCCTGGCAGCAGCAGCAGCAGCAGCAGCAGCAACAGCAGCAGCAGCAAACCTGGTTCGCTGTCTTCCTGCTGCAGCGAACCCCACACCACGCAGCTGCGACCATCTCCAGGTATTGCAGCCCCAAAATGAGGCCCGAATGAAATGGCATGCCAACTGGTTGCAAGGGCTGAGAAACGCAAACCCTAAACCCTAAACCCTAAACCCTAAACCCTAACTATTAAAGTTTAAGCCCCAAATTCTCAGCGCGTAACCCTAAACCCTAAACCCTAAATTACAAACGCTGGACACCCAAAAGGGGCATGAGAAGCTATAGGTTAGGCCGTAGAGCCTCAGATTAAAACCCTAAACCCTAAACCCTAAACCCTAAACCCTAAACCCTAAACCCTCACCGTTTAGCGCTTCTGCCTCGGTAGGGGTTTGGAGGTCAGAAGCGGCCCCCCCAGGGAAAGACAAGCGACTGCCCCAAATATAGACATTCTCTCTTTGCTGCTGATCTTGCTGCTGCTGCTGCTGTTGCTGCTGCTGTTGCTGCTGCTGCTGCTCAGCGCAAAGAGCGACAGAGGGCAATCGGTGGAGCCTCCAGCAGCTGAACTTCTGCTGTTGCTTTTGCTGCTGCTGCTGCTGCTGCTTTTGCTGCTGCTGCGCCTGCTTGTTGGTAAGCAGAAGAAAGGTCGCCGGAGCTGCAGCACACATAACTCACACCTGCTGCGTTAAGGTGTTGCTGCTACTGCTGCTGCTGCTGCAGCTGCTGCAGCTGCTGCTGCTGCAACTGCTGTTAGCTTCGCCCGCTCGACAGTTGAAGGCCTAGGGTTTATCGTTTGGGCCTAGGGTTTAGGGTTTGGGCTTAGGGTTTAGGGTTTAGCGAACCTGCAACGAGGGTCGCCGCAGCAACTCTCTGCAGACACTTCATCGAGACGATCCCGTTAGCTTGGTGAGGGTTTAGGGTTTAGGGTTTAGGGTTTGAGCTGCACAGAAGGGCCCTACTACTGCATTTCAGCAACCAGCTTTCCATAAACCCTAAACCCTAAACCCTAAACCCTACCAACTCACCAGGGTTTGTTCACAGCGAGCACGTAAGAAGGCTTCAGGGTTTAGGGTTTGGGGTCTCGAGTTTGTACAGCTTAGGGACTAGGGTTTAGGGTTTAGGGTTCAGGGTTTAGGGTTTCGTAGTCTGTGTTTGTGGTTTAGAGACCCGAGTTTAGGGTTTGGTCTTCTTTGGGGGGCTGCAGCCGACGGGACCAGCGGGATCGCATGCAGCGAGCTAGGGTTTAGGGTTTAGGGTTTAGGGTTTACTTGCATTTATCTTTAATTTAAGACATACTTCGGGGCTTTGGAAGCTGGGGAAGTTTAAACCCTCGACGCCTAGTGGCGCATTAGGGTTTAGCGCCTAGGGTTTAGGGTTTAGCCTTTAGGGTTTAGGGTTTAGGGTATGGGAGTGAGGCTTGAAACCCTAAGCAACCTTCTGCAGCAAAAATGAGGCTGCCGGCACATGCAGCAACATCTGCTGCAGCTGCAGCAGCTGCTACTTCATCTGTTGCTGCCGCTGCCTTCTGCAGGCGAGGCGGCGCCCTTGCAGCAGCAGCAACAGCAGCAGCAGCAGCAAGGCCCGCTGGTGCTGCAGCAAGAGTGGCAGCTGCAGCAGCAGCATCAGCAGCGATACCACGCAACCGAAGGCCTTGCTGCTGCTCTTTATCCCATGCACCTTTCTTTGCTTCAGCAGGAGCAGAGGCAAGACACGCTGCTGCTGCTGCTGCTGCTGCTGCTGCGGCAGACAGCAGCAGGCGCCTCGTCCATACAGCAGCAGCAGACTCTCCGCCTTCTGAAGAGGCTGCAGCTGCAGCAGCAGCACAAGCTGCAGCAGCAGCTGAGGATACACCCGAATTGCCTCCTCATTTTTTTTCTCGGGTTAAGTTTGTACAGGACTTCCCGCCGGTGTCGGTGCTGCAGCTGCTGCAGCAGCTGCAGCAGCAGCAGCACTTGCTGCTGCAGAGGTGGCAGTCGGAGGCATCCAGCAGTGATCCTGAAGCAGCAAACCTTTTAAAGAGGCGGCTGGAGCTACTTCGGTTGCAGCTACAGCTGCAGCAGCAGCAGCAGCAGCAGGCGCTGCTGCAGCAACTACCGCTGCTGCAGCCACGCGAAGTTGTCGCGCTGCTGCTGCGGCTGACAGCCAACATTGAGGCCTTGAGAGGGGATCTCTTTCCGCTCTTGCATCAACAGCAACAAGACCAGCAGCAGCAGCAGCAACAGCAGCAGTTGCAGCAGCAGTTGCTGCAGCAGTGGGCTGACTGGAGGCGTTGTGCGGAGCAGCTAAACCGCTTGGCAGTTGATGAGGAGGCAAGCAAAACCCTAAACCCTAAACCCTAGATCCAAACTGTTTATGAACCTCTAATGGTCTAGGATTTAGGGCATATGGGGGTCACAGGGTTTAGGGTTTAGGGTTTAGGGTTTACGGCTTCAGGCAAAGAAGGGCTTAAAAGTCTTTGGGGCTTAGGGTTTAGGGTTTATCTGATTGTGGGAGGCCTTAAAGTTTAGGGTTTAGGGTTTAGGGTTTAGGGTTTAGGTGTCATTGACTGCGCTGCACAGGAGGCGTTTCTCGTTTGGATGGCGATGAACTCAGTCCGGGCCTTCAGCAGCAGCAGCAACAACTGCAGCAACAGCAGCAGCAGCAACAGCAGCAGCAGCAACAGCAGCAGCAGCAGCAGCAGCAGCAGCAGCCCTTTGCGCGCGTTGCTTCTGCAGGTCCGAGAGAGGCTGGAGGCAGCAGCCCTTGCGACTGATGCTCGCAGCGGGCCTCGAAGACACCCGGTAAACCCTAAACCCTAAACCCTAGGCAGAAGCAGTAGAGGTTAATATCGGCCGTTCAACTCCGAAAGGGGTTCTTGTGACCGTAAACCCTACACCCCTTAATGCGTGCTTGAGGTTTAGGGTTTAGGGTTTAGTGACTACTGCTGCTGCTTCTTTTGCTGCTGCTGCTTCTTCTGCTGCTGCTGCTTCGTTTGCTGCTGCTGCTGCTGCTGCTGCTGCAGTGCGTGTACCTTTGGCCTGCTGGAGGTGAGGGTTTTTTGTCTCTGATTGAATCCGCTCCTCTCTCTGCAAAAGCTGCGATTCTGACGGCGGTAAACCCTAAACCCTAAACCCTAAACCCTAAACCCTAGATGGCAAAGCCTAATAGAACATCAAAGCCCTTGAATGGAGGCGAGGGTGCCGCTCGTGACAGCAACACCCACCCCCTAAACCCTAAACCCTAAACCCTAAACCCTAAACCCTTGTTTTGTGCAGGAAGAGCTGCACACTGGGCAGGCAGCTGGGCTTCTTCCCCCCAAACCACCGCCGCCGAGGCCTCGCAACTGGCAGTCGATGGACCCCGTTGAGTAAACCCTAAACCCTAAACCCTAGGCTAGTGGCCATAGTAGGCCCTAAGTTAAGACCTCCTTAACTCCAGACTGAACTCCTAAACCCTCAGGATGGCAGGCAGCACCTTTCTTGTTTCTGCGTCGCCTCCTTTTCAGTAGCATCGAGGGTTTAGGGTTTAGGGTTTAGGGTTTAGGGTTTAGGGTTTAGGGTTTGGGGTTTGCAGCATGGAGGCCTGGGAGTCGTCTCAGCGGCGCGTTGTTCGAACCCGCTGGCTGCCAACGCCTTCGGGTGTTTTCTTCCAAGGCCGCAAACTTGCTGCTTCGCTCGCGCTGCACATACACCAGGTACTGCAGCAGCAACAGCAGCAGCAGCAACAGCAGCAGCAGCAGCAGCAGCAGCAGCGGAGGCGGCTCCTGCGTATAGCGGCAGGTGCTGCTGCAGCTGCCGCTTCCAGGGAGCCTTGTGCTGCAGCCTGATGTAGATGAGTTGGCGTAGGTCTTCGGTTCAAGGGCCTGGGGTTTAGGGTTTAGGGTTTAGGGTTTGGGGTTTGTGGGCCTGCGCTATCTTTTCAGGCCGCCCCTGTGGCTGCTGCTGGTTCGCTAGCCGCTGTTGCTGCAGCAGCAGCAAGGAGACAATCTCTGAGGGGATCGTTCGGACAGGAGACAATCAACTCCGTTGCGCACCGGTCAGGGTTTAGGGTTTAGGGTTTAGGGTTTAGGATAGGGCTTTAGGGTTTAGGGTTTTGAGTTTCTGTTTGCAACGAAGGGGCACGACTGTAATCCCAAGTAATGTGGGGTCTGCTGGGAGGTTTAGGGTTTAGGGTTTAGGGTTTAGGGTTTCGTGCAGGCTGCTGTCGTTGGATGCCCATTCTTTAACTCCTTGGCTTCCTTCGCTCGTGGTGCTGCTGCATCAGCCCTTTGCGCTGCAGCAGCCGCTGGCAGTACACCTGGCTGCAGCAGCAGAGCCTTTGCTGCTGCACCAGCAACAGCAGCAGCAGCAGACGCAGACGCAGCAGCCTGCAGCAATGCAGCGGCTAGTACAGCAGACACTGCGGGAAGCAGATCCCTGCCTACTTGTACAAACCATCACTGTTGCTGTTGTTGTTGTTGCTGCTGCTGCTGCTGCTGTCGGGTTCTTGGCGCCGCTTCTGCTGCTGCTGCTGCCGCTGCTGCTGCTGCCTCTTTTTGCAGCGCTTTCCGTTGCTGCTGCTGCTGCGGCCACTGCTGGTGGGTTGGAACAGACGGTGTTAGGGTTTAGGGTTTAGGGTTTAGGGTTTAGGGTTTTGGCTGCTGTGCTGTAGGGCTGGGCACACCCTGAGTTGCTGCCTCCACGGCTGCTGCTGCAAATTTGCGGGGGACTCCTTGCTGCTGGGTCTTATGAAAGTATGCTGCTGTTGCTGCTGTTACTGCTGCTGCTGCTGCTGCTGCTGCTATAGCTGCTGCTGGTATCGCTGCTGCTGTTATTCCTACTGCTGCTAGTGCTGGTTCTGGTGCTGCTATTGCTGCTGCTGGGCGTCGCTGCTGTCGCTGCCACACCTGCTGCAGCTGTTGGTGCTGCTGCTGTTGCTGCTGCTGCTGTTGCTGCAGTGCCACTGGAATTGGCTAAAGGCTTCTTCAGCAGCATCAAAGAGTATCTCAAGCAAGCAGCAGCTCTCCGCCGCAACAACAGCAACAGCGGCAGCAGCAGCAACAGCAGCAACAGCAAGAAGAGCAGCAACAGCAACAGCTGCACCATGCTGCTGCCTCTTCGAGACGTGGCGTTTTTCTACTCGGCACTCAAGCATGTAATGGCTGTAGCTGCTGCTGCTGCTGCTCTTGCTGCTGCTGCTGCTGCTGCTGCAGGTGCCACGGTCCTCGGAAAAGGCCCTGGGGGGGAGTACGTTGCGTGCTGCTGGTGATTATTTGGCTGCCGCTGCTGCTGCTGCTGTCCTCAGAGTGGGCTGAGAGAACCGGAGACCGTCCGGCTGCTGCTGCAGCAGCTGCAGCAGGACTTGCTGCGTGCTGCAGATGCCGCAGCAACAACATCGGCAGCAGCGGCAGCAACAACAACAGCGGCAGCCAGTGATGCAGGAGCGGGTTCAGCAGCGGTAGAACCGGCAGCAGCTCCAGCAGCAGCCGCAGCAGCAGCAGCCGCAGCAGCAGCAGCAGCAGAGGCAAAAACAGCAGCACAGGCTGAGCGGCTGCTTGCTGTTGCTGAGGGTGGACCAGCAGATTTGTGTGCCGTCCTCGATGCTGCTGCATTTGGCTGCAGGACACCAGCAGCAGCAGCAGCAGCAGCAGCAGGCTGTGAAGCAGCAGCAAACGAAGCGGCAGCAGAGTTTGCTGCTCTGTTCGAATTCGCCTGGCAGCTGCTGCTGCCGCTAACCCCTCGGCTGGCACCGCCCTGCGGGTGAAAACCCTAAACCCTAAACCCTAAACCCTAAACCCTATACTGCACGTCTGCCCACCAGTCTCAGGCGCTGCTGCTACCAGCCAAGTTTCTGTTGCAGCTGCTCTTCGTGGTGCTTCAGCCGCTCCTGCTGCTGGCTTAATCACCGCTGCTGCTGCTGCTGCTTCGTGCTGCTATTCAGGTTGCTGCTATATAACGCGATGGCTGCAGGGGGCCCCCAGTCTGTCTTGACTAGCCCGGCTTATTTGTGAGGCCCCCAGTAGCTTACAACCCTAAACCTTAAACCCTAGCTAGATCCCAAACCCTAAACCCTAACCGCAGCGTTGCCTTCATACTTTCGCGGGGAGGGTTTAGGGTTTAGGGTTTAGGGTTTAGGGTTTAGGGTTTGTGCCTTCAGGGAAAGCGTGGAGGAGTTCCTCGCTGGACATGCGGACCTAGAGCCAGAAGCCCTCGGCTCGCTGGCTCTCTAAGCAGCAGCTACTCAGCTAGCTACTCAGCTAGCTACTCAGCTAGCTACTCAGCTAGCTACTTAACTAGCTACTCAGCTAGCTACTTGGCTGTTGGCTAGCTGGCTAGAAAGGTAGCTAGCTAACTGGCTAGCTAGCTAGCTACTTTTCTAGCTAGCCAGCTAGGTACCGTGCTTGCTAGCTAGCTGGCTAGCTAGCTACCTTGCTAGTTAGCCAGTCAGCTAGCTAAGCAGATAGACTGATAGGTACGGTTAACAGGTGGGAGGCCTAGGAGCGAGGGTTTACGGTCCCAGGGTTTGCAAACCCTCAAGGAGCTCGAGGCCCCTCTAAACCCTCTAGGGGTTTATAAACTCTTCTAGGGTTTGGGGTTTGCAGCACGGCCAGGAAGAGGGTTTTACCTGGAGACTTAAACCCCCTGAAGAGACGACGACTGAGTCGCGCGTGCTAAGGTTTACGTTAGGGTTTAGGGTTTAGGGTTTAGAGGGGGAGCCCGAAGCGTCCCTGTGCCGCCAACGGAGTTCGTTAGGGCTGGGTGAGGGTTTAGGGTTTAGGGTTTAGGGTTTGTTGGTGTTTAAAGACCCTTCGGGGGCCCCTGCAGGAGAGCCCTGGGGTCTAAGGCCCAGATGTAGACACCTCCTTCTGAATCTCCAGAAGCAACAATCCAATCCCTGCTGCTGCTGCTGCTGCTGCTGCTGATTTGCTGGAGGTCCATTACCGGTGAGGGGTGTGCAGTCCAGATGTCTAGGCACTCGCTGCTGCCCTTGCTGCTGTTGCTGCTGCTGCTGCTGCTGCAGTTGAATGCACGCATGAGCCCAAACGAAGTTCCAGCGAGCAGCAGCGGCTGTTCAGGGTGCAGCAGCAACCGCACAACTCCTTCTCCCTCGCTGCTGCTGCTGCTACTGCTGCTACTGCCGCTGCTATTGCTGCCACTGCTGCCACTGCTGCTGCTGCTGCTGCTGCTTGCGGAGGGCCCCACAGGTACTGGGGTGTACGTACAGTCGAACGTGAGTTTAACTGTCTTCTTGCTCAGATTCCACAGACGGATCTTACCATCAAGACCTGCAGAAAAGATTAAAAGAGTAGCCGAGGGGCCCTGGGGCCCCCAAGAAGAGGCATAGAGGCGGTGTTTGGGGTGTACAGGCAGCAAACACTCAACAGCAGCTGCATGCCCTCTCACAGACACAAAAGCCTTTCCTGTCTCTTCATTTATCCCTAAGATATATCCGTCTTCGTACCCCACAAGGCAGCAGCTGTGGGGTGTATCGACAGCTAAACAAACCGCCCCTTGTTCCTCAGCCTCTTCATCTAAATCCATCCCGTTGCTGCTGCTGCTGCTGCTGCTGCTGCGGGGAGCAACAGGCCCTGCTGCTGCTGCTGCTCTCGCCTGGCTGTCTGCTGTGGGGTGAACGAAAGAAGAGACTATCTGCCCATCTCGCGCAGCAAAAAGAGAGACAGCTCCGCATGCACCTCCTACAAGACAGCGGCTGCCGCTGCTGCTGAAGCAGCAGCAAGTTAGGGGGCTAGCAGCAGCAAACACATGCAGCACAACCGCAGGCTTCAAGCCCTGAGCGCCTCCCCCTCCTCCTGCTGCTGCTGCTGCTGCTGCTGCTGCTGCTGGAGACCCCCAAGAAGGAGGCAGCAGCCATACCCATGCAGTTTTGTCTTCGGAGGCGGCTAGCAGCGCGTAGCCCCGAGGATGAAAAGACACAGCAGCAATCCCTTCACACGGGCCCCGTAGCTCCTGCAGCAGCACGCCTTTTCCTGCTGCTGCTGCTGCTGTGTCTGCTGCTGCTGCTGCTGCTGCTGCTGCCTGGGTGCTGTACACCCGAACGCAGCCGTCGAAAGAGCCGCAGGCCAGCAGCAAACCGTCAGACGAAAAGGAGACACAAGAGACAGAGTCTCCTGCATCACGCAGAGTCACTGCAGCACTCAAATGCTGCTCCTCCACATCTGCTGTTGCTTCTGCTGCTGCTGTGTCTGGTGATGATGCTGCTGCTGCTGCTGTTGCTGCTGCTGCTGCTGCTGTTGCTGCTGCTGCTGCTGCTGCTGGGGGCGAGAGCTTAGTCAAATCATACAAACGACACAAATCATCAGAAGCGCCTACTGCAAGGAACGGCGGCGCCTGCTGCTGCTGTTGCTGCTGCTGTTGCTGCTGCTCCTTCTGTTGCTGTTGCTGCTGCTGCTGCTGCTGAGGTCTGTTAAACGCCAGGCAGCAAACAGTGTCTCCTGCTGCTTCGCATGCAGCAAGCAGCCACCGCTTTCGGCTCTCTAGCAGCTGCGGATGCAGCAGCAGCTCTTTGGGAGGACCATCTCCATCTGCTGCATCTGCTGTTGCTGCTGCTGCTGCTTCTGCTGCTGCAGCCTCGTCGTCAGAGGAGAGGTCCTCAAGGTCTCCTTCCTGCTGCTGGTGCTGTTGCTGCTGCTGCTGCTGCTGCAGATCAATAAGAGACCCGTCAGGTCCTTCTGTCATCCACCGACAGCCAGGGGGAGCTGGGGGAAGACCCTTTGCTGCTGCTTCTGCTGCTGCTGCTGCTGCTGCTGCTGCTGGCGGCTTGCCGTTGCTTCCGCTCATCTTCGCTGGCCTTCTTACTCCTTTGCTGCTTGCTGCTGCTGCGGCTGCTGTGGATCTTGCAGCTGATACCACTTCTGCTGCTGTTGTTGTTGTTGCTGCTGCTGCTGCTGCAGCTTGGGGCTTGCTCGGCCCACCTTCGTAAGCAGCAGGCCCTTCACCCCAAGGGTTTGAGGGTTTAGGGTTTAGGGTCCAAGGTTTAGGATCTAGGGTTTAGGGTTTAGGGTTTAGCGCCCTAGAAATAAAGGTTTAGATGCAGCAGCCAGAAGAAGACACTGAAACTGCAAGCGCATGCACGGGGGGGCCCCCAGGGGGCCCCACGGAACTGCAGCAGCAGCAGCAGCAGCAGCTCTTGCTGCTGCTGCTGCTGCTGCC